GATGATGATGATGATACTGATGATGATGATGATGATGATGATGATACTGATGATGATGATGATGATGATGATGATGATACTGATGATGATGATGATGATACGGATGATGATGATGATGATGATACTGATGATACTGATGATACTGATGATACTGATGATACTGATGATACTGATGATACTGATGATACTGATGATACTGATGATACTGATGATACTGATGATACTGATGATGATGATGATGATGATGATGATGATGATACTGATGATGATGATGATGATACTGATGATGATGATGATGATACTGATGATGATGATGATGATGGTGGTGGACCCGATGCCGATGCAGGGAACCCGAGTGATGCAGTCAGTGGTCATCAAGGGGCTGACGTCACCCTAGCCTTGCCTCTCAACGGGGGGCATCAATCCCCGCCTCCTCTATACCTCCCACCCACCCAGCCCACACACATACACAACACGGCACCCGGCACGAGGTTCCCCCCTCGCTCCCCCTCCTGTTGCCCGGTTCCCTCACCACGTAACAGGTCATTCACTTCTTCCCTCCTCCCTCACCTCCAGGGGCACCATGGTGAGGGGTACTCCGGACTCGAACACAATCTTGGCGGCTTCGGGCTGTGCGGGGTGGTGATTATGAGGGGGGAGGGAGCGGGGGAAAGATTGGGGGGTTGGAGGGCGGGGGAAAAGGTGGTGAGGACGAGGGGCGTTATCCTCCTTAACCCCGCATCCAAATACCTAAGTATTTGTGTATATATATACAGGGCTATGCGCAGGCGCGCGCGCGCGCGCGCGTGAATGCCCTTGAAATGCCGCAGCGCTTTGAATGCACCAGACCCAAAGCAAAGCATTCCCCCTTTGGAAGACCCAGAAGAAACTTAAGCACAAACCAACTCCTTTCGCGCGCGAGTTTGATTTCTTGCCAAGCGCACGACCCACGAGCATTACTCACATCTGTTTGGATGTTGAACTCCACGACAGGACCTGCAAACATGTACGAACATGTACGGAATGCGTAGGAAGAGGTGAGGAATAGGGCTAACATTGGAAGCAGGGGTCGGCGATGCAAAACAGGCAGTAGCAGCAGCAGTAGCAGTAAAATGTCAGTGGCAGTAGCAATAGTAGTCATCCGCAGTGGTCTTGTAGAAGAGCAAATGCCTCTTTCCTTTGCCTTCCATTCCTATGCTCCTTAGCAACCTAGCACCTCCCCAGTCTCGCCCTATTTCCTCCACTTCTCATTCTCCAACTCTTGCCTCGACATACACAAAAACAGGTACACTCGCTTCATGTTTGCGACCTCCTTCCCTGTCTCGCCCGTACACATTCCCCTCCTCCCCTCCTCCCCGCCGCCTCCCCTCCTCCCCGCCTCCCCGCCGCCTCCCCGCCGCCTCCCCTCCTCCCCGCCGCCTCCCCTCCCTCCCCCCCAACAGCTCACCCGTATTCCCCACTCCCATACAGCCGCCCATGAGGGCCACCTCCAACCAGTCCACCACCTCGGGGTACACAGTCAGCAGCAGAGCGGCATTAGTCAGGGCGCCCGTGCAGATCAGCCTGGCCAGGAGATCAATGGCCGGGTTGCGGGTTGCCGGGGCGATGTGGGGAGCGGACTCAATGAGGGGAAAAGTGCAGCCGCAGACAGAGCCAGCCGTTGTGATGAAATACGACCCAGGATGTGGCTCGTGGGAGATGCATGGATAGATGGGGTGTAGAGCGGGTAAGTGCGACAGTAAGACAATGGGGACAGAAGAGGGGTAGGAAGGTGACATGTGATGTGGGTGGAGTGCTGCGGTGGCAGTGGTGCGAAGTGATGAGGTTGCTGGAAGGGCAGGGACAGCAAAACGACAAATACCGCACGAAAGACCCACCTCTTTTCCCTGGAAATACTTCCAGGGTACTTCCCTATCCTACCTGACTTTAATAACATCACTTGCTTTCGTTGCTATCGGTCGGCTCCCATCTACGCCGCTCATCCCAGCGGCAGCGCCCTCCGGCATCCCCGCCGGCGCTAGCGGCGGCTGCTGGTCCTGTTGCTGCAACTGCTCGTATGCCTCTGCAATGGCGCCGTACATCACGTGGATGGCCTTTCCCGGCAGCAGTGCACGCGGGCTGCGGGGCAGCAGGCGCCCGCCCCCCGGTCCGTCCAAACCCGTGTCTCCGTGAATCTCCGGACACAGGAGAGGGCCGCGCATGAGGGGCCGGGGCTGGCCAGCAACCACACCTAGATGTGAGAATGCAAGGTTCCAGGGGTTTAAAGAGGGATGAGATAAGCTTAGCTGAGGACGCTCAGAGCGGAACCGGGTGATTAAGGTCGGAATCTCCTTTTATCTGTAACCTGACAGAGCTAATCTGAACGCACCTACATCGCAGAGGCCCACCGCATCCAGCACATCCAACGCATTTTGCGTTACCTTAGCCAGCGTCTGGTTGCCGCCGATGGTGCTGATACCCAGCAGGCGTAAGCCGGGTGTGTGGCCTGAGAAAGGGGGCCGGGGGGGACCGATAAGGAATTCAAATCCCCGCGACGATTGAACTGGCGGCAGACCAGCGGCTCATTCCAGCGGCTCATTCATAAGCTACTGGCTATCGTAAAAGTAGCCCTATTTCTACAACGACCCGAGGGATTGCACCTAAGGTCTGGTTAAGCGGACGAGCCATCGTCGTTTGCTAACAGAAAAAGCAGGCAACAGCTTAGGCCCAACCCCAGGAAGCTACAGGTAAATTCAATACTTGTTACGGACCTGCTAGAAGGATAGCTGTGGCGTCATCGTGCCCTGGATCACAGTCCAACCAAACCGGGATTGGCTGCGCCATCGGCACCACCTGCAAATCAGGAGGCCTGTGCTTATCGTACTCAACGATCACCTGCTGTTACTATTGCACTGTGGCTGCCATTTCTGTCCAATAAACATCTGAGCCTCGATTCCGTACATGATGGCGGTTGGTTCAGCTATTACCAATACCCACACGATGGAAACTACACGATAGCCTGCAATGCTATAGCCTTTTAAGTTCTGAGAGGCTAAGACATTGCCCACGTACATTCTTGTCGCGCATAGCGTGCCGCTTGCATCCCACGCAGGCCGCCCACAAGGCACAGGCGTGCAGCTGCCGTGAGTTTTGGGTCATCCAAAACTTGGGTCTTTTGCCGTAACTTAGCCGCAAGTGGGTCAACATTAGGCAGAAGTCGTAGCTGACCCAGGTCTTTGCTGGACTGCCTGCACCCACGCGACCAGCCCATTTACGTGGGCAGTGGCAGTGGTGGCAGCAAACAAATGAGTAAGGCGCGACAAAGCGTTCCAAACGCAGCGGCGCATATATACACATTTCTACGCAAGCCCCCATGAGGAGTATGAGTATGAGTATGCCGTATGCCTGTAAAAGTTAACAACACCCTGTTGGCTGGCTGAGCCAGCCGAGGGGTAGAGCTGCCAGTCCTTTCAGCGGCTTTATTTCCTGTGAAGTTATTTCTTAAGAGCTATATACCGGCGTTTTAGGCACCTGCAATGACCAGTGACCAGTGACCCGTGATGTACTGCGGTTTACATCCACAGGGCCCATCCGAGACAATAACCCGCCAGTGCCTTGAATGGGGGCTGCGAGGGATTGACTTGGTCTTAATTTGAGAACTGGTATACATGGACAGATTCTTGAGGTAAATGTTGTCCGGTCAGTCAGCTGCGTACGCAGTAGCTGGTTCACGGGAACTGAGAACAAATAGCTGGAATAGCTGGACGGGTGTTGAGTGGGAGGGGCGGTCGGAAGGGAGGTTGAGGGGTGGTGGAAGATATCGGCCTTTACAGGTTTCCGTTTTCGCTTTGGGAATCCAACCGAAAAACGTTTTATCTGAGGCGGCTGCGCCAGAAGCCGCATATTACCATTTTTTCCATCCCTTCCCGGTCCCCCCTCAACCCACTATGAATTGCTCTAGGATTTGCCTTCGTCCCTCGCCCTACCACCTCATCTCCCCCGCCTCGTCCCTCTGTTCTCCGACACACAATGTGTCAGCGATACGCTCCATCCGACTTCCGTATGCATGAAGTACATACGGCGACGTACACAACGGCAGCTGTACGTTGCACATACACGCATACAAGGGTATCAGAGACTTCCGGCCTCCCTTCCCTTCCAAACCCTGACCTTTAGGAAAGGTGCTATTTGCGCTATTTGCTATTTGAAGTCGAATGGTTTGCAAAGTGCAAAACCATTCGACTTCTCATGCAGTACACATTTCCCGTACATGGCTCTCCCGTACATGCAAGTACGTGACGTCAATCACTCAGTTCGCGTTTCCTTTGCAACCCGGCTCTCCACCACGCGTTGGCAAACATTCGTTCGCTAATTTCTACAAATATGCTATGTCACATGAAGCAACACAATCAGTCAAAACCCTTGGTCAGGACGCAGTCGTCAGTCCACACGCAGGCAAAAATAAGCAAAATCATATACAGAATAAATAACTGTCCGTCAATCTTCCAGGCCCGGACAGGTATAGATGCGACTATATTAGCAGCAGCATTGCCAGTAAGAGACTACGAAGTCATCCACCCGCCGCCAAAGAAGCACGACTCCAAGCAAGCTAAGACGTCCTCTAGAGGGGAACACTCCGCCAGCGTTGCAGCGCATAGCGAATGTCTTCGTGTATAAGGCCCATCCACTTGGAAGCAAAGACGCATTTATTGTCTGTATGTACAATAAATGTAACAAGCCGCGGAGATTCAAAAAGGAATTCGTGAGACACGCCGGTAAGTCTACGTGTAATTGTATACGTGTGTACGTATGTGTGTCTGCTCATATGCACGCAGTATCTATAGTGCAAGTCCGAAAAACTCCGAAAGAGGGAAAAATCGATTTTAACGTCCGAGAAAAAGGAAAAAGGAGAAAGGACATCCAACCAAGTAGTAGTAGTAGTAGTAGTAGTACGTGGCAGGAAACGTCCATTTACGACGACGCATGTATGCATATGTTGTATGTTCGTCGGGTCGCCACCACTACTCCGCATTTTCTTTTCTTTCGCATCCTTCCCTTTCCCAGCACGCGCCCGTTACCAGCAGGCTCGTCTGTCAGGGCCGCCATTCATCGATATTCATCCTCCGTCCTGTTAAGACCGCCTGTTCATCACCTTCCCTCAATCCACTTGCCCTAACTTTAGTCCAGCTGATGGTGCAGCGCCCCCTCGTGCAGCTCAATCTAGAGGACGGGGGGGGAGTCATTGCTACTTACGCCTGACGGAAGGCATGCTACCAAGCTCGGGTTGCACACTACCAGGACACACATACATACATACACGCACATAAGAGTATGTGATGAATGTGTAGGAATGTGCTCGGCGGCTTCCCCGGCGCGCACGGACACGGCGTGGACACGGCGCTACAAAACCAGGTACATATATACATACACACACACGCCAAATACACATACGTACACACACGTCCAGACGTCATCGTGCGGGCGAGCACGCTTCCGCAAGTTCTACATATACACGCACAGCCGCACTAGACAGCGCTATATGGACCCAATCAGTTGTAGACTCACAAGGTCGTGTACTTAACACTTGTCAGTAAAATGGCTGTAAGAGAATTTCTCTGGACAGACAGAATGTTCGTGTGTGTGTTAGGGGGTAATAATACAGTGTTTTGCGTGCCCGCCAAACGCCATTCACACATCCTGCTTACTTATAGTTCAAATGCCTGTCTAACCGAAATGCCCTAGGTTCCCTCTGCTTCTCCGAAACCACTAATGCACTAGGTTCACTCTTTTAAGAAAACGGTTGGTTCAGTTGTAGATGTGGAGGTTCATCACTTCACGACGAAAGAAAACGCGTGCGGCGAATCCCCCTCATTGAGCAGTAGCACAGCCTCCACGCTGATCTTCATGCTGGGCTGTAGCTGTAGCTGTAACTCTTCCAGTGCTTTCCACTGACGATTTATGCAACCCGGGATGAATGCCGCCGGCAGTCGATTGGCTGTAGATGCCCACCACACTCCGCGGCAAGCGTGGGCTGCAGCAGCAGCTGTGGATTCGTGAGTGCTTAACTGACGCCGGTCGGCTGCTGCAGTGTGTAGCGACATCTGCCAATCTCAGCAATAAAACATTCCCCTGGCTGTAGCTGCGGCTGCAGATGTAACATTCCCCTGGCTGTAGCTGCGGCTGTAGCAGCTGTAGCTTGCAGCTTTCCGCAGACCGTCCGTCTGTGTGATGTAGGCAGGCACCAGGCAACATATACGCCACTTTTCGCTACGCATCCATCAGTGCTGCTGCCGTAACGACAGCTGCAGATGTAGCTGCGGCTGTAGCAGCATGCAGCTTTGCTGATACGGACAGATCGGCGCCTGTGGGCTGTGCTGTAAGTAGCTCTGCACTCAGCTACTGCTGGGCCATCCACGCTTACCGGGGCCGCTGTAGCAGCAGTTTCGTCGTAGCCTTAGCTGTAGCTGTAGCAGCGACTGACCACATATGCAGCTACAGCTGTGGATACTAGAACTCGATTAATTACGCTTGCTTAAGAAGACCGGCTGTAGTTCTTTCATCTGCTGTCAGCTAAGGATACCCTTGAAGTTTTCTGGATCGGCTCGAAGACGGTAGTCGATATCGTCCAGAAAGTCCTAAAAGCAAGCAGACAGACATACGTACAGAACGGTGGTGTGAATACACGTCACCGGCGCATGCTCACGATGTACGCACACACATATACGAGTATGCACCTTGCAAGAGTCGAAGACATGGTCTGGAGAATTCCACACGACTTTTCGTTTTCAGTATGCAGGCTTGCAGGCTTGCAGGCAGGCAGGCAGGCAGGCAGGCAGGCAGACAAGGCACCAGGCAGGCCGTTAAGGAAACTGTTTGCGTCAGTATCAAGGTGTGTGTGTAGACACGACACGTCCTTAACGGCGCATGGTGATGATGGACCGGCAGAAAGGCACGGAGGGGTCACAGGAGCTCGGCACAGGGCCGGGCCCGCAGGCCAAGGTCAGCAGGTATCTGTCGCGCAGGGCCGCGTAGCTAGGTGGGTTACAACAAAGGAGGGAGCGAGAGCGCATGCAAGGCGCAACAGCTAAATTCCTACCAAAACATCAAAACACTCCGTCCATTTGCTGAACACATGTCACCGGACAGAAGCGCTGATTTCGGGTAGGCATCCTGCGCACCTGCAGGTGCTTCGAATGTTTCGTATCCGTAACGTTACCCGAGCGGCACTCACCTTGCGAATCGACACGGTGGGGTACGACACGAGCAGTACTCGGATGCCGAGGTGGCCAATCACCAGTGCCGTACTCTCAAACTCCACTACCTGCACGCGCGTGTCCGGGCAGCACGTGCAGCACGTGCAAAGTAGAAGAGCTGGAGTAGGAGTTTTCTTCTAGGTAATCAGCTAGCTAGGTGGGTAAGTTAGGTACGCGGGTCCGTTTCAAAAACGTGGCAAGGAAACGCGGCGGGTGTTCTCCGGAAGGGACGGAAGACCGAATGGGTTATTCGGACGGTCCAAATGGCGTCCAAGGTCTAGAGAACAGATATAAACGCGGAGAACTCCGGATAAATGCGGCGGCAGTACAAGAGGCGACGCAAGGCATTGTACCAGCAGCACCAAAGCGAAGGCAGCCATCACTCACTCTACAGCCCATCTATCGACGTTAGTACTCCCCGTTTTGCACGGTGGGGTCGGTAGCCCCACCACGCTAAAACCGACACCGGGCTACTCTACCCCCGGGGCCGTTCCCCCCTCCGGGATGATGTCATTCCGACCCCAAGGGATGTGCCCTTCCGGTATCATATCACGGCACCGCGCGGCGCACCGTGACAAGCAACGGCGTCTCGTCGTCCTCCTGATGCGTAGGATCTGTACGGAGCTTTCGCTCGTACACAACGTACTCCCAGCCGTCGTACGTTACGATGAGCTTTAAGTGGGTACGCACCACGTCCGACGGCAAGCTGAGGCATTCCTGTGTTTAGCCCGAGACAGACAGAAAGACAGACAAGGAGGATTGATGAGTTTTAAGTATTGGTGGCGACGAATTGATGAATGTTTAGTATCGGTGGAGGCATTCCCCCTTTCTCCCGTTCTTTGTGCACCTTCGCCCGGGCCTCCAGTCCCACTGACATACATACATACATACGGCACGACTTTCCGTTCGCCCCGCTGAGCCGTCAATTCCTAACCTGCTCTGGGGTGTAGTGGTAATAAAGCCGCGAGGAGGTTGCCGAGAGGTGCGCGGGCATGGTGCCCGGAGAGAATGCCCTTGTCATCAAGTCGCGTGCAAGGCCCTGCGGATCGCCAAGAGGGGGGCAGACATGCGGCTTGCCGACGATAGAATATGAGGGGCATTACCTGGAAAGGCAATTCCTTCAGGGCAGGGCGCCCTGGAGGTTTATGCGAAGGAAGTTCCGGGATAAATCACTTGATCCGAAGTGCGCGCGCGCGGCTATAAGGGCAACAACATCGCGTTAGAGGCCTGTGTATAAGTGAGTAAAGTGTGTAAGCGCGTGACTGCGTATGGATGCTCCATGGGCTGCTAGGCCGTGAATGGTAGGTGCCTCGATATTGACGCTGGAGGAAGGTTTGTTCGTTGGGGTAGGAAATGAGTTCGTTGAGGGGAGGTGGGTCGGGGAGTTTTCGGCTGCGCGCAAGCCACCGACGCAACGCGGATAATGTTTGCAAGCTACTTTGCAAGCACGTCTTGTATGCATGCATGAGTACGTGTGATCCAACGAAGAGGGCCGACACATTTCAGCTCGTGCGGCAGCACAAGATAACCCATGACGGCATATCTTCCAAGAAACACAAGGTTATAACATACTACGGCATGAAGCCGTAATACCGGCATATAAGGATCGGATGGCAAACCACCAGGCCGTCATTCCCAAGCACATGTTTATGGCTAGGGTAAAGGTATGGCAGGAAAGCCATGTGGGTTTACAGCCTCGTGGTAGCATCTTAATTTGCTTCCAATCATGCTACGTTCACACTCACAAGTTCTGGGTCTTACAAATACACACGCACCTGCAGGTCCTCCACGCATGGAATCCTTCTCAAAGTGAGACAATTGTGACGGGACTTCGCACCCAATGTATGCCATGAGACAAAAAGCCCCAGAGACAAGGTCTTCGGCAGAGGACGCGAGGGCGACGGTTCGAGCGGTTCTGCACACAGCAGGCGCTTCACTGCACCAGATGGACCAGCTCCGTCCTGGTTGGTCCTAGCTGAACGCGTCTGTTGGGGTTCTTGGCCATAGGAAGTGTCCGCTTGCATGCTTGGGTGTCGTGGGTGAATGTGTGAGAAGAGAATGTACCAAATTTTATAAGTTGTATGTTAAGATGATATCTTAGTGAAGCCAGCTTGAAAGGAAGCCCCACTGCTTTGTGGCAAGGTGCCGTATTTGGGTTCTGTGTCATGGGTATCGGGGCAGCCCAGCCTAGCAGTGGTTGTAACGTTAGGCGGTAACGTTGGCGAATTTATCTTTTGATTTGCACAAACTACAATAGAATACAGTTTGTGCGCTGAAGTTCATAACTTGACAAATCTTTCTGTTTCTTGGCAAAGCCTTTGCGTCAAAGTTGTATCGTGATTGAAACCATTCACTGGATTTCGTCGTCGCTTATAAAGTTATTCGCAACTTGTAGCTGCCAGTGGGAGCAGCTCGGTGATTATGCCGGCTGCGATGCAATGTTATTCTTAATTGATCTTACCGAGTAGGTTTGCTTCACCTATCCGAAGGAATATTGGAGCCGGCGTAGGCAATAGCCACCGAACGCCAGCAAAATGGACTTATTGACTCAATACGGGTGCGGCTGGACCTCCATCCATATCATGATTTGCTTCATGCGTCTTTCTTGGGCTGGGCACCGCAGTGAGTTTGTGCTGGCTGCCTGCAATCGTGTGCAGGGACGACGGTGACGATCTAAGCTCGGGTCCCCCGCCCGAAAGCCCCACGGCTGCAGAGGTAGCAACATCACGACCGCAGCTCAATCTAGCCATCTCAGCTGCTCCACAGGTACGCCAGTGTCTCTGCCGCGCTGGGAAGTGGGGCTGCGCTTCCAGCAGCAAAGCTGGTACCCCCCGCCCCGGGGTCCCCGCCCTACATTCCCCACCATGCCACCCATTCGTCCACACGCCTGATTGAACGCCGCAATCGCATCTGGCGACGCCACAGCATGTGGTTGCAGGGATAATGAAAACTTCTAATCGCCATTACTAACCCTCCGGGATGCCCGTCACAGCAATAACACGCCCTGAGGATTTGCAACCTCGCAGCATGATCCTGCTGCTGCGCCTAGTCCTCATGTACGCTTAATGCTGCTATTGGTACCGCTGCCCCCCAGGTGGATACGACAGGCATGGTGCTGTATGATAGTCGGGCTCGCCCGACAGGGGAAGTCCAGCGGCTCCAAAGTAAGCGCCAAGCCATGCCGCAGCGGCGCACGGCAGCACGGGTGGAATGAAAAACATTTCGGGAACATCGGGAGGAAGGGACCGGCCTCGTACCCGGGGCCAGCTGCGGGAGGCGGGCCGCCTCTTTGTTATCGGCGTCGCTGTTGCTGTCGGCTCGCTGCGGGAGGGATTCTAGGGGGACGGAAGGGGTTGCGCCTGCGCGCATACTGCCACTGCTGGCACCGCTGCCCATAGGCCGCCGACAATCAACTCCACGCGGTATGAGAACGCCGCGTCCCTTGCTTTGTTGCGGACCAAGGCGCATCCTCTCGAGGATGGAGGTGCATATGAGGAGGGTTGCAGGCGTTGGTGCTGGAACCACAGAGCATGGAGGGTCTTTGTGGCTGTTCAAAAACTCGCGATGCTGTTCCCGTATCGGACAGCGTCGCTTCCCCAATCCAGCGACGCAAGCCCTTCCTCACCCTGCCATGCACGTGTAGGCAGGGGCCCTTTCTATCAGTTGATGCTTTGTGTGCCCCATTCCACTCCGCGGATATTTGGATTTTTCATAGGTGTGAGGTATGTCTTTTCATGCCGCGCGTTGTACAGGCGCCGGAGCTCGCAAGGTGATGGTCAACCTGCCCATGGAGGAAATGTATGCACCAGTGCTAGGTGGGTGACTGGGTTGGCTTGAGGGGAGGGAGGAGGAGGAAATGGGTGCGAGGGAAGAGCGAGAACGAGAAAGGAGTGAGAAGGGAGGCGGCAGGAGGAGAGACAGACACACTGCCGAATGCCCGTGTTGCGAGCTTTTCACGTCTCGCCGCGATGCCATCCTTTCCACAGCAGAACAGCACAGCATAGCACGGCATTCCGCGGCACGAAGCAGCGCTACGATAGCTAGGCACAATAACCTCAAAAACCCGAAGTCTGTTCGCGCTTGGGGTTGTGGGCTTGGCCATCACAATGATTGTCTATCTTTGCCAGCTTTTACACCTCGGGTGCGCCGGCAGCTGCTGCCCAATCTGCGGGTTTGCGTGTTGCATCCAGGTCCGTTCATTGCTCAGCCCCTTCTTCTCCTCCCTGCTCATGCCCAGCCATCATTCAGGGCATGCTGCTGATGTTCAACACAGCGCATGTCTCCCGCTGTCAGGATCTGATTCTGAGTTAGGCGAGTTTCCATTGTCGCTCGTTCGCTCGCTCGCTCCTTCCCGTTCGCTCTCTCTCTCTCTCTCTCGTTCCTTTGCTGTCCCTGCTGGCCAGTCACCTGCCCTCTTTGCTGCTGAGTTTGTCAGTTTGTCCATGCGGCTGGCCCCTGTTACCCGTTACCTGCAGGCCCTGCGCACCCTTTCCAGAAGGACGGCCTGGCGGCGGGCTACAAGAACCACTTCGTGGGGCATGTGGAGGTGAACGATGCCTCGTAAACTTCCTATTCCATAGTGTGTATCGCATTTCATATTTATTTTATTCATTTTGCAGCAGCGGTATAACTCCCATGCCCGCGCCTTGGCTTATCCTCACCATGTGTCCATGGTCGCATGCTGTTATCCCCCGGACGATATCCCGCACCAGCTTAATGTTGTGTCTGCAACTTCGCACGAACCCTTAAGTTCCCTCTCACCTTCCCCCTCTTTGTCGGTGCTTTTTCAAAGTGGTGCATTGCACGTCGGCAGTTGATCCTTTGCATTTCCTCCTCCTCTGCTGCTGCTGCAGGATGCCCACATGCACCCCTACCATTTTGAACGCGAGTACCACAACTTCCATGCTCTAGGATACGGAGAGGCGCCCAGCGGGATAGGTGGGTGTGCGCGCGCGCGTATAGTTGCGAGTTAAACACACAGCAGCACAAAGACAAAACTACACAAGGTAACCAGGAGAATGGTATGATGAAGTTAGGATTTGTAGCTTCGGTCCTGGGGCCACTTGCGTCAGGAGGGTCACTGCGCCTTTTGTGCGTGTGTGTAGCATTTTTTAGTCAAACCGATTAACAGAAAGGACGATGCCCCAAATGCTATTTGTTAAGAACCCTACGCCACGGCTGATGCCGCCGCCGTTGCGTCATACATCTTGCTGGTGGTCATGTCGATGCTGCTGAAATGCCGCTCTGTTACTCGACCTGGTGTCCTTAATGGCCGTGTTCATACTGCTGTCGCTGATAACCACGCCGCTGTCACTGCCGCTGTTGGTCCTGGCGTTGGTTATGATGGTTCTGCTCCAGGAGTGGTGGGTCGGCCGGTGGATGAGGACGCGGTGGAGGTGGGGCGTGACGGTGGTCCCAGTGCCTGGAAGCGACGGAAGACCACTGCAGAGCGCAAGGCGGAGCAGGTGGGGCAGAGGAGAGGGGCTGGCTGGCTGGGGCCGAGGGAGACGAGTCCGCCGGGAGATTATTAAGAGGACGGATGGGTGCAAGCTCGCACGAACAAGGACAGAATGTTCATAGGAATAGAGATATTCTAGGTCCTCAGAGAGGAGGGTACCGCAAGGGCTGGCGCGGGGGAGGTTCAGGTGAAAACGTGGGCCTAGAAATTTATTCAGGGGGGATGGCGCTGTGTGTGGGGGGGGGGAGGGAAAGAACGCGGAGCGGGGATTGTGTGGTTGGGCTGCACGTAGCTCTACGCCTAAATCATGGGGGCCCCCTGCGACATGCTTATCTTTTTGCTACCCTTATTCCCTAGAATGCTGAAGTGCTTTGTGACCTCTCTTGCGCCGTCCTGCCGTTGCCTCGTGCGTTAAGTTGTATTACTTCATTTCCGTCTACGCACACACCCGTAGGCTGCCCGTGTTGAGCGCCTTTCCGAGCCCGTGGACCCCTCCCAGCCCTTCAAACTACTGGAACGACAACCCTGGGCGAGCAAGGAGCGGGAGGTAGGTAAAGGGAGTGGGCGGCAGGCCAGGAAATTATTATTCTTAAGGTAATGATTATGTAACCTCCGTATCAATCGCCTGCATGCGGCCTAGCTATGGCTTCCTCACAAGTCAGCGGCTCAATTGGCTCCCTTACACAGCCGCGCCCCTGTGCAGGGGGGGAATCTGTCGACACTTCGTGAAGAGGGGGAGCAACGGGAGGAGGGGGCAGACGAGAGGAAGGGCGAGACGCTGTATCTGTCCCTCGGCCTTTACTCGGTACCCCTATCCTTCGCCCGCATTACACTTGGATTTGCTCCTGCCCTTTCTTAAACCGTCGTCATCGATTTCTGTGAATTGGGCCTTTGTCCGGGTCTACTGTCCTTCTTATAATCCCCCACAACCCCTCAACCATTGCCCTCACCCCCTGCACTACCCTGTTCTGTCCTTTGCTGTGCCATGACTCAACACCTCCATTTCTCCACTGCCTTGGCCGTACCCTACATCCCGCAACCTAGAGCTTATCTTGTCGGCTAATTTGTTTTGCCCTGTCCACCGCCCTGCCGTACCGCTAGGTTTCGGAGCTTACAGAGGAGCAGAAGGAGTACATCGCTAAGATGGAGGCAGCCAAGATGGAGGCCGCGGCGGGGGCGGTGGAGACCAAGGGGCCCACCACGTTTTTCCACGGCAAGGACGAAAAGGACTACCAGGGCAGGTGGGTATATGGGGGGAGGCCCGCGGAGGGGGAATGAGGGAAGTCGTCACGTGGATTCTGACCGGGAAGGGTGCAAGCAGGGTGTCAAGGAGTGAGGTGGTGCATGTGAAAACGGAAGGAGATTCTTTTGTGAAGGGAAGAGTTGTGCCTGGTCCCCTGAGCCGCGGACGGCCCGCCCCCCCAATCCTCTTTTTCTCCTGTCCTCACCTTACCTGTCCCTTCTTATACCCCCTTGCAGTCTACTTCGCAGCCGTCCTACGCGCACATTATCTTCTCCCTGTCTGCTTGTACACATGCCCTCCTTCCCCCTCTCAAAATTGAGATTGTAGCACTTGATTATCTTTTTCCTTCTGTACCTTTTCGTCTGCTTCCTTTGTAGGTCCTGGGTGCTTCCGCCTCGGGACAAACGCAAGGAGTCCGACAGCTGCTTCCTGCCCAAGCGCTGGGTGCACACATGGTCGGGTCACACCAAGGGTGTCAATGCGGTGGGTGAGGCTGGATGTGGGTGGGTGCGTGGGTGAATGGATGCATGCCAGGCCGTGTGATGAATGACAAGATGACGTTAAATCTCACCGAGGTTTGCCGGGGCATCGACAAGCCTTCCTGAGCCGCTCATTCTCCTCGTCTCGGTTTGATCGCTCGCAGCCGAGACTTGCTATCCTGCCTGCTCTGCAAGAGAAACAAATTCCCCTTTCAACCTTCTCTTGACTGCAGATCCGTTTCTTCCCGGGCTCGGGGCATCTGCTGTTGTCGGCTGGGTTAGACGGCAAGGTCAAGATCTGGGACGTGTACGGCAGTGGCAAGTGCATGCGGTCGTACTTGGGACACTCCAAGGTACGGTATGGGAGAAGGAATTGATGAGAATGCTATCGAGGGAGGCGGAGGGAGGGAGGATGGGAGGAGCTGGGTTTTGCATTTTGCCCGTAGCAACAATTCATGGTCATGGTCTCTTAAGCCAGTGGTGTCGCAGTGGTGTCGCGTGGCCATACACATATGAAGCTAAAAACACATATACGTGTACTCGCGGTAACAAAGTTTCCTTTGAACACATGAACGTCTACTTCCACACAGGGCGTACGCGATGTGTGCTTCTCCAACGACGGTCGCCGGTTCCTGTCCACTGGCTACGACAAGAACATCCGGCTGTGGGACACGGAGACGGGAGCCGTCATCAAGAGCTTCAATAACAACAAGGTGCGCATGTGTGTGTTCTGTGGTCACGCAAGCACGTGGGAAGCGCGTCTGTCTGGGTGGGTGTGCCGGGGCTGTTTCCTAGCGGCCAAGCGACCATTAGCTGTTTGGATGCGCATGTGCGTGTGACTATGCATGCGCCTATGCGTGCGCACGTGCAGGTGCACGTGTTTGTGTATTGTATCTGTGGAGTGTGGTGTTTCCTTGCTCGGCCATGGCATTATTTGCACCGCGCTAAACCAAATCTTTTATCATGACACACCAACAACATGCCGCATGCCCGGCACCACACCTCGCTACAGCATATCACATGGCATGACACCCCACACCGAACCACGGCCTTATAGGTCAAGCCAAGCTAAGGGTGCACCTGGCTCCCGACAGCCTTCCGTATGTCATTCCTTCTTTCCATCACTGCGTCTTTTGTGCACTCCTATCCAAAACCCCATCCTAAGAATCTGCCAATCGGGCCCCTGCGATTGCAGGTTCACTACTGTGTCAAGTTTCATCCAGGGGACGACCGACAGAACGTGTTCATGTCGGGCTGTCAGGACAAGAAGATCTACCAGTTCGACGCTGACACGGGTGCGTTCGGTGATCGTGAGGACGGTAGAGGGGCATATGGGTGGTGAGTTCATGGTGTGGTGTGGCGTGGGGTGGGTGCTGGTGTCAACATCACAACTGAAGCTATTACAGCTGTTGCACTTGTGTTACTGGCAATTGTGCTGATGCTGCAATGGCACCTGAGGCCACTACTGTTGCTGCTGAATGGCATGTGCTAGCGGCAACTGTTGCTGCTCATGCCCGTACCATACATAACTGCGGCTGCTGTTATGTACTAAAAACTGCTTATGGTATGAACTGTTGCTGTACTGCCATCCCCATTTCCAGGTGAGGCGGTCCAGGAGTACAATTACCATCTGGGTCCAGTCAACACCGTCACATTCATCGACGAGGGCCGGCAGTTCGTGTCTACATCGGACGACAAGACCATTCGCGTGTGGGAGTTTGGCATCCCCGTGCAGATTAAGTACATCGCCGACCCATCCATGCACTCGATGCCCGCCGTCGCTACGCACCCCTCCAACAACTACTTACTCATGCAGAGCTTGGACAACCAAGTGGGTGCGCCGTAATTGCATTCTGTCTGGGGCTTTGTGTGAGCGATTATTGATTAGCCGTCCGGGGTTTCAGGGATTTCTGGGTTTCGGACGGGGTTCGCGTTCAGTGTCTGCCTCGGGGGAATGGGTAGAAAAGAAGGGAATCTGCAGGGTCTGGGACTCAAGGTTGGGTTTACCTGTCCAGTCAAGAGTTTTTTGCATGAATGTGGGTTGAGCCGAATGGGTCCACCGGGTGTGTGGGTCAAGTGCCATTTCGGAAGTTGGGTAAAAGTCGTTGACTAGAAGGACAAAAGGGGTGGCGCCACGTAGCCAGGCATTAGAAGAGGCGAACCATGGGCGAGCACCAAACGAGCTTATGGATACCGCTATATTGGTACGTACGGTAACCCAGGCAACCGTGCACGAGGTCCGGCGTTCCTTGCCCTCGTTCCCGTACGTTCTATTGGCGCCGTGCTGAACTGCTGGACTGTTGCCGTGCATATGTTGTACGAACAGGTGCTGACCTACATGATCAAGGATGGCAGGTTCAAGTCGCAGAAAAACAAGACGTTCAAAGGCCACAACACGGCGGGCTACGCATGCCAAGTCAACACATCTCCGGACGGGAAGTAAGTCGGTAGCAGCGGGAGGGTTGGGTCTAAGGGTTTGCGGGTGCTGTGTGAATTCTCTGTTTAGATTGACCTTCCTAATGGCGACCCTTGCGCGACCATAAACGACTGTCATGAAGCATAGGAGCGGGTACCATGAGGGGTGGGAAGTGCATCAAATGGTAAGGCTTTTTTAAGTTATCGAGACGCAATAATAGGGGGGAAGGAACTACGGGTCTGGTGTGCGGTGTGGACAGGCGTTAGGAAAACGGAAAAGACGGATTTTGATGGGGACAGGGAACGCACCCCACGAGGAAGTTGGGGTCACGGGACCGCATGGGTCGATTCTTGCTTCTGACACTACGGTTGCATCACGTGGGTAATTGCGAGTAAACATGTCTTTTGCATGGCTGCGATCACGCAGGTACGTCATGTCGGGCGATTCTGAGGGGCGATGTTTCTTCTGGGAGTGGGGCGCGGCGCAGAAGATCGTTCGCACCATCAAGGCACACGACGCCGTGTGTATCGGCTGCGCGTGGAACCCAATGGAGAGCAGCAAGGTGGCCACGTGCGGCTGGGACGGAGTCATTAAATACTGGGATTGAGGCCACCTCTAGAGGCCAAGGGGCTGCTTTGACGTTTGGGTCTATTGAGAGGGCGGTCGCGCGAAATATACCGTCAGACTGTGTGTCTTACGCCATGAACGCGGACTTGGACGCGGACTTGGCGTCAGTGGTTGGGTGACTTTGCATGTCTTTTACTTAGAAGGTGCAAGGCCGGACGGAATGCCAGTGTTCGCATGTAGATATTGCATATGCATTGCGAAGGCAAGGGAATGATTACAAGGAGTGGGTCAGTCAGGAAAGTCTGTCGAAACCTGAAAATGAACAGTCTGCCTGCTTCAGTCATTGAACACACGATGACATATGACATATGTGTAAGTCAAACGGCTATTGCTTAAGAATTACAGCGTCAATGAAGGTGCTTGGATTCTTCCGGCTCATGTTCAGCAACCCTCCTTTTTTTACAGTTCAAAATGTACGACGATGCCGTTTTTGGTTCTAGCTGCCCCGGCAGAATACCCAGATTGGTTTAACGCACATGAGTTCATTATGGTTGCTGTGGAAGCCCGGTGCTCAAGACGCATAACAGGTTTCAGGCCAGTTCGTGAACGGCCTGGAGGCCGTGACAGCAAATGATACAGCCCAGTTCGTAGCTCGCTAGCTGAATTGTATTTCATAGTCAGCTTGTGCTGCTGGCGGGGCGTGGGTCTGGCGCAGCAGAGAAATGACTGCCGAGGAGAACGCCGAGAGCAAGTATGAGGTTCGAGAGGTCATCGGAAGAGGGGCTTTTGGAGAGGTGAACCTCGTTGTAGAGAAGCAAACAAAGCAGAGGTGAGGCGTACCTATTTCCCTTTTCGGACTCCCCCTCCCCCGAGGCTGTATCGCGTCTGGAAAATCTAACCTATATAGAACCTGCTCTGCACGTCTTACTGCGCTGGCAGTTCTTCACGTGGCTGCTTAAGCCTAGAAGCCTAGGTGCCCGGCCAAAACAATTGCATGGTGCAGCTCCCATCGTGACATGTCACGATCCGCTGTGCAGGTATGTGCTCAAGCGGATCAAAATGGCGCGTCAAAGCGAATGGCAAAGGAAGGCGACACGTCAGGAAATTGAAATTGTGAGTCGTCGTCGTGTTTTACCTCCTTATACACAGGCACTCCGCGTTTGAACTTTGCCCGAACCCTAAGGGGGTTTCGATGCAAATGATTAGCATCGCAAGCAATTTGACTGTTCGCAATGCTCTCTTCATAGTCAGTAGCGCTGCTGGTTTACGCGTTTGCCTGCATTGTGCATGACCCGGAGGGGGACATGGGTGCAGCATGGGTAACAGATATTACTTTACTAGGTGTAGGGACGGAGGGCCGCTTCACACATGCGGAGATGCGCCGTCAATGTATACGAATCTTTCAATTCCGTTTTACAAGGCACGCATCTCTCACCCATACAGGTCTCCCGGTTGCGGCATCCGTTTATCATGCCATACAAGGAGCATTGGACGCACCACGGTCACACCATCAACGTTGTGTACGGATATTGTGAAAAGGGCGACCTGACGAGTGCTATCACGAAGCAAAAGGTGCGCAACCGCGCATGGCACGGTGCGCTCTTGCATTTTTCATGTGTGCTACTCGCAGCGCAACTCTCCGCGGTATGCTTATCATCGAGTCGGCAATACCTAGCCACGGCATCCCTCTGACCGTCTGCTATCTTTGCCCCGCTCGTGTGGAATTTTGAGATTGCTTGGAGTGGATTGCTGCTCACATGTGCGCTCCAGTGCATCAGAATCCATTGATCACAGTTCTATTTGGACTGCATGAAACTGGCGCTTCCGGTTTTACGTTTTGACCTTGTGCAAACCTATCGGACTCATTCATCCCCGCCCCGCGTGCGCATTACGTCAGATCCCAGAAAAGGCATTGAAGTTATTAGGGGGCGGGTGATATCTGATCACCAGTGCAACATGGGAATGCGTGGTGGGAGTAGTAAAAAAAAGGATGACGGTGTTTTTTTTACATCGTCCGTTTGTTCCTGGGCCCTTTGACACGCGTAGGGCAAGTACTTTACGGAGGAGACGCTGCGGCTGTGGCTAGCGGAGCTGCTGCTGGCCGTTGACTACATGCACCGCCAGCACGTCTTACATCGTGACATCAAAACGCAGAACATCCTGCTTACCGGCGAGGGCGATGTTCAGATTGGCGACTTCGGACTGTCCACTGTGCGGTGAGCCAGCAAAGGGGAGGATGCGGACATAGTTGCGGTTGGCGGCGAGGTCGGCCATCTTAGCCGTAATCTGTCGCGTTTCGCTCGAACTGAGTCCCATGACCTCAACCTAATGCCAAGCGCTATCGTTGCATGAAGCCTCTACAAGGCACTGGAAAGTTCCCTCAGATGTCTGAGGATTTCCAGGAGAGCGGGTTTTGGACAGGTGCAGCGGTTGTGGCTGGGCTCTCCGCGCGTTGGGTAGGCCAGACGGTGCGTCATAGCTTCCTAGACCCCACCTACGTCAGCTGGGTTAATTGTTAGTGCATTTCCTTGCCGGCTTAAGGACGGATTATGACTCGTTCGTAACCTGGTGACGCGATGCAGGGTTCCTAGCAGGGAAAGCGAGTTAAGGATGCAGCAGCAAGATCGCCAGCAGACGCTGCAACAGCAGGCGAGTAGCGATGACTTGGACATGCGGATGGACGTATCACCGGCGCACTTGAACGGCGGCGCCGCAAGGGTGTCCAGCAGCGGTGCTGGCACGCCCGAGCAGGCGAAAGGCTACCACGCGCTCGCCACCGCGCACGTGCCAGCTAACCACGTGGGTGCGGAGGCGTATACCAATGGCTTGGCCAATGCACACGCTAACGGCCACCACGGCCACCAAATGTCAGAAAAAGAAAAGTCCAAGGAACAGCTGTCAGCACATACGCCAATCGATAAGGTGGGCCCGGTACGACGTTTGCTTTCGTTTCGCCGTCTCAGCACGCGGCTTTGTGGCAGGGTTGTTATGGTGCCTTTCCAGAGGGCAGGCGACGCCTGTGGTTAATGAGCTGGGACAAGCCGTGCCAAACGGATTTGGATCGGACATGGAAGTCTGTGGAAAATGTCGTGGCTGATGGTTTGCGCGCTGTTGCCAGATTCCTATGTTGTGCGCAGCGTGTTGGAACTGCTTCACAATGCGCATCCTTTCTTAGCGAGATAATGCTCAGCTTTGGGCAGGCGCATCAGCTCCGCCCTGGAGTTGCTCGCCTTCGGTAGCCCGCGTACGCCCAGGACGGCTATTCTCATTGCGGCATTAGTTGGCGTTAGTGAGACTCTGTACCGGATTACTGTGTGGGCACCTCTCTCCTACCGTTAATCCTTTTCCCTGCGCTCCGTCTACCAACGACTCAGGGTACCGTCAACGACTATGCGCTTGTGGGGACGCCCCACTTCATGAGCCCGGAGCTGCTGTCCAGCCAGAAGTACTCGTATGAGACGGACATCTGGTAGGTGAACCGTCTGACTGTGCTGGGGATTGGGGCGGAGTGTGTCGCAACAGGGCTTACACAGTTTGTGTTGGGCACCGGCCGCATAGCTTGGCGACTTCGCCCCTTTCCCTGTGCTAGTACCACTGCTGCTGCAGCAGGTACTGCTGCTGGGAGGTAGGGTTTCTGCTGCCGGCTCAGAATTGGGAGTCTGTTAGGATTAGGCAAGTCGACAGCATGGCGCGGCGACACGGCCTCCTGGGCTGTACTGTATTGCAAGAATAATAACCCAACAACATACACAACATATCTATGTTGCATCATCTCGCGTCCTTGGCTCGAGACCGTCGTTGAGCTTCGCACGACAGTTTGGAGACCATTTGAGGAATGCCGTCCTGAGCTCTGGGGCTCCGTCAGGCACAGGCCATCGACTCATTCTTCCTTGCTTTGTCCACGCAGGTCGCTGGGCGTAGTTATGTACGAGCTTACAACTTTGAAGCCGCCCTTCAACGCCTTTAACCTGGCGGGCCTGGTCGCCAAGATTAAAAAAGCCGCGTTGCCGCCCATCCCGCCCTGCTACACTGCGGACTGGACGGGGATCCTCAAAAGGTGTGGATGCTGAGGCTGTACCGGACTGCTTGCCATGCTCAGCCTTACGAATTAGGCAACTCTGCCTGTCTGGAATGGGGGCCTAGCTGACACTGCGAATGGTGGTGGGATAGGGGAATGAGTTTATGGCCTAAATGGATAAGCCAGATTGAAATGGATCCGAAAGGATCCTTGTGCATCCCGCAACAGACCACTGTAGAGACCATATGTGCGTGTCGGGTAAAGACGTGCAATTTATCGCATGCTATGTCCAGAAGTCCTGGTAGGACGCTGGTATGTTATGATTGCTGCCCGTTTCTTGCTCGACGCATGTGGTCAATGCACCCAGCACGGGGAAACGTGAAGGCATACATCGTCCACGTCGGCCGACAGGCACCGTCACCTGTGTTACTTCTCAAGACTTCTGCTCGTTCTTTGTCATTTCCTTCTTATGATACCGCGTTGAGTGCAGCGCTGGCATAAATACTCGGTGAAACCGAATCCCCGTCATGGATGTGCGCTCTGTGCCGCGTTATGCGCCATCCCTTAATGTCCCCTTCATGTGGCGCTTCCGCTCCTGCGTTTACTGATCTTTCCCTTTCTGCGCCCCCCCCCCGCCTGCCATCCACCCACTGCCCGCCTTCCCCTTCAGTATGCTGCGTAAGGACCCCGTACGGCGCGCTTCTCCTATGGAGGTTCTGGCGTTACCTTCCATGCAGGAGGCCGTGCAACAAGCCTACCAGCGCGCCCACGCCATCTCCCCGAGCTACGTGTTGCCGAATATTCCCATCGCTAGGTCCACTGCCAGCCCAAGCTTCTGCTTCCCCGTGCCTCCGGCCGGTGCCGGCAGCGGCGGCTACGTCACTCTCACTGCTGGGCAGCCGACACCGGGCACCGGGGGCCCCTCCACACCCGCGCTACTTTTCCCCATGGCCGGGGCCTTGGATGAAACCGGCGGAACTGACACGGAGCCCTCACCCATGTCGAAATTTCCAAACCTTGCGGAGTCGCCTGTGCTGGCGACGGCAGCTCCCGCCGCATCAGCAGTCGCAGCCGCTGTCGGTGCTACTACCAACGCAGCCGCCGCGCCCCCAGCGGCGCCACCTGCGCCTACGAACACAGAGGCTATCCGATCCAAGACCCCCGCGACGGCACGTAGGCCTGGGACGGCCGGTGGGGGCCAGTCGACACCGGGTGCTGCTGGGGCAGCGCCGGCAGCCGCAGGCGCCGCAAAGCGGGCGTTGTCTCCTCAACGCGCTCGGGCGCAACCGGCGTTTGTCGCGGGCTTGGCTCGTAGCAAGACGCCCGTCCGTGAGTCATCGGCGAAAGCGGCGGATGCAGAGCCCAACCCGCGTATTGCCCGCAAGGGCACCCTGACCCGGGCAGAGTCATCGTCGCGCCCTAGGGCCGGGGTGCCCTTGGCGGGCAGGGCGTCGCCTCGTGGCCTCCGGGACAGCACCAGCTCCGGCTCCGCTGTGACATCTGGCCCAGGCACTGCGCGTGATATCAGCCCGAGTCCTTCGGTTGAGCGTCAGCTGAGTAGCCGTCGGATGGGGCCTAGCTCTGGACCTGTTCCGCGCATTGCGTCCTTTTCTAGTGGTGGTCTGGTCCGAGGAGCTAGTAGCAAGCAAGGGGACCTGAAGCCTGCATTCAAGTCAGCTGCCTTACCGGTGATGCTCGAGTCTGAAACTGACGTACCCTCCCCGCGCACCTCCGCTCGTGGACACAAAGTGGAGTTTGCACCGAATGTAGTTTTCGAAACATCTTCGTCACCGCAGCACTCGCCAATCTCCCCAAAGCCCTCCGTCAAGCAGCAGCCCTTCTCCCCCATCGCCATCACCGCCAAGCAGCCTCTTTCCCCGCACATATCCACTACTAAGCTGGTTTTCTCCCCGCAGTCCTCCCTCGTCATCAAGCCCTCGTCGCCGCACTCCACCGCTGCCAAGCAAGCCCTCTCCCCGCAGCCTTCCGCAGTTCACAAGCCTCTCTCCCCACAGCCTTCCGCCGCCAAGCAGCCCTTATCCCCACAGCCTTCCGCCGCCAAGCAGCCCTTATCCCCGCAGCCTTCCGCCACCAAGCAGCCCTTATCCCCGCAGCCTTCCGCCACCAAGCAGCCCTTATCCCCGCAGCCTTCCGCCGCCCTGCTCAAGTCTTCGTCACCCGCCACTGCGGTACCATCACACGCCAACGGCGGCAACAGCAGCAGTCGCGCTGCGCCCTGGCGCAGTGCACGCCCCGCCTCGCTGAATACGGTTCGCAGCTCCCGTGCCGCCCTTGCTGCGGCGACCTCGTCGCCTCAAGCTAGCCCTCGGGGTGCTGACAGCGCGGCTGCGAAGCGCTCCGTCTCGGTAGCGCGGGGCGGCTCCACGGACTCGTCGAATACCGCCGCCAGTGCCTCGGCTGCGAAACGAGCCCCTGCACCTGCGGCGGCGGCGGTACGCCATGGTGCAGCATTGGAAGCACCAAGTACAGCGCGATCGCGCGCCGTAGCATCTCCCGCATGGCGATCCACTGGCACTGCGCATCGACGGTCACAGCCAGGCACGCCTGGTGCCGGGGCAGCCAAGGACGCGGGGGTGCCAGAGCGGCGTGTCCGCCGGTCATCTTTTGTGTCGTACGGCAAGGCAACGGAGTCGGCGCCATCGCAGCGGCGTGCAGCCGGCATGGGAACGGGTACGGCGGGGACGATACTCTCAGCTAGGGACTCGACTTCCGCCGCCGCTGCAGCGGCGGCCGACGTTGGTCACCTTGCGAGCCATCCGCTGGCCGCGTCGGATGCCGCAATGGACAGCCGCCCGAGTTCTTCCAATTGCAGTCCGCCTGACAACCCAGGGACGGCTAGGGACCAGCGAAGCGGCGTCTTTGGTAAGGTTGGAGGGCAGCTTTCGCCACGGGCCAGCAGTCAAGTACCTACCTCCACCTCCAACGGCAAGACTGCTGCCAACCTTGCTGCGGCTGCAGATCTTGCAGCCGCAGCGGCGGCCGGTCTGGCTGCGGCTGCTGCCGCGGCAGCGGCAGCGGCTGCGGGGCCACCGACCGCGGGGCCAAACGCTGCCAGTGCGGCGGTGGCTGCCGGCGGTGGCGGCGGCCACTCGTCCAACAGTCACCCGTGGCGTAACACCCCGCGATCGCGGTCCCTGAAGTCGATGACGACGGAGGATTCGGAACTATCGATCCCTGACGGCGGGTGAGTACAACGAAATAGCCTCAGTAAATAACTGGCTGGTGATGTGACCCGGCCTAAGGGGTTGTCAGGCTGTGGTGTCGAGAGTTGCACATGACGCGGGGTTGTTGGGGCCGCGTCCTTGCATGGCGCGCTGTTATTAAGTCATCGCAGTACTAAGTCGATTCTTTGGGCCCCCCGTCCCCCTGCCTTACATTTCCACACACACTAACAGGCGGTACGGTCTATCGGAGAACACCCACAGCCACTACGACGTCGATCCTCGCATCGCCACTGGGGCCTTCGCGGCCGGAACCAGCCCAAGCCTTGATAACGGCATCGCTGCCGGCACCGTCGTCGCCTCTCTGCCCCTCTGCTACAGCAACCAGCTGTACTCTGGGAGCTACGGCTCTTGCACAGGCTCGCTCATGGACGGCGGGATGGCAGCGGCACACAATAGCGTATTGCCGCCGGCTGGCAGCAGCGGCGGCGGCCGCGCTGCCGAGGCTCTTGCACCTTTGAGCGGCGCCACTTCATTGGGAGCGGACCTTCCTCGCCGCGTCTCTGCGTCCGTGTTCGCGCCTCACCTCATGTACGGCGGCCAGGGCCCGACAGCGACGGCGGCTGGGTCGGCAGCGGGAGATGACGCCAGCGGTACCGAGTCGGGGGCAAGCACCCCGGTGGATGTGTCGCGGGGTGCCTTGCGGTCGGGTCTGCGGCGGCTGGAGCTGAACGACTCGCAGGTTACAGTCGACAGCCTGGCCGGGGCCAAAAGCCGAGAAGGCGCGACAAGTGCCGCAGGTGCCGCAGTGAAAATGGTGTCGCCGGGCCGCTTTGACCTCATGTCTTCTGCACCGGGCACCGGATCCCGTAGCCCTGGCGCGATGTCATCTGGGCGCGCCTCTCCGTCATCACCACGCCGTGGCGGCGGCCGCGACGTCATGGAGATAGTCTCGCCCACAGCGGACTTCACTCCACCGTCGCCGCGTGCACGACAGCCAACACATTCAAGCGACGGCTACGGCCCTGCAGGCCCGCAGAACGGCGGTAGCGCAATCCATCATAAAGCTCAGTTACATCCGGAGCGAAGCGCGCACTCGCTGGATGGCCGTCCAGTGCCCGAGAGTCGCCCTTCCCAACCGGTGCATGGACGCGGACAACCAGGCGGTGCCGAGGCGCGATCCTCGCCTTCCCGGGTAGCCTCTCCAGCTAGCAGTGTCGGCGGTTCCCCACGCAGCCTAAGCCCGGCACAGAGAAACCCAGGCCCTATGTTGCAGCTTCAGCAGCAGTACCACCAGCTGCAGCAGGAATACCAGCAGTACCAGCAGCAGCTCCAGCAGAAATCGATAACCGCGGGCGACGGCGCGCGGATGTCCCCGGCCAACAGTTCACCAGAAGTTACGTCACAGCTGCGGCCTAGCAGCGGCGGTAGTGGGGCTGGCGCTGGTGCTGGCGGCGGTAGCGCCGGCAGCCCTCGCGCCCAATACAATCCGGAATCGGATCTAAGTGCTGTGGAGCGGTCTCAGCTGGCGCTGCTTCAGCGTGTGGTCGCGTTGGCTGGTTCTCTGTGGGAGATGGGTCGGGACGCGGAGCTGGGGGCGGTACTGTCCTCAACATTGAGCCGGCCGCTGGCGCGGCGGCACGGCAGCAGTGGCTCCTCGACGCAGCAGCAGCATCAACAGCACCACCGGAATAGGCTTCCGGATCTTGGTGATGCGGTTCGGGTGGTGTCTGGGCCGCTGCGGGGCGTGGAGGCAGTCGTGCGGTACCGCGGACCGTGCCATTGGGGTTCAGGTGAGTGCATTAAGCAAGAGATGCCGCGAGGCCAAGAGAACCAGAGCTCGGTTCGGTCACAAAAGAATGCGGCAGGGCTAGGGCATGGGAAGGTTAGATTTGGCAACATGCATGTGCTGAGGAGGTTGGGTACACGAGTCATAGATTCGGCATGGCGGCAGGAAGGTAAGCCGGGGCCTGCTTCTCTGTTTGCACCACAGTGAACTGTCTCCTATCCCCAGGGTGCTCGCATGGGGCTGCAATGGGCAGCAATAACTTGGTATGCACGAGGAATGTTCGGATGCACGAGGATCGGCACAAAGGGCTTTACTACGTGCGCACATTAGCACTTGTTTTGTCTAAAGTTTTGAACCTTGCATGTGTACGTGTTTCCTAAACAGGCACCGTCTTGGGACTCGAGCTGCTGGGGGTGGCGCCAGGCGGCGGCAGCAGCCCTCGCGCGCAACAGGACCACTCGGTGGCGCCGCCGGGCTGTCGCGACGGCGTGAGGTATTTCCGCTGCCACAAGCCTGGCAATAAAGCGGCCTTTGTCACAATGGACCAGGTGGCCTTGCTGAGTTGAATCGGAGGAGGTCTGCAGGCGCACCTTTCGGAGTGGCCGATATGCGAAATGCAGCTGCTGTCGGGAGGCGCACCTCCAGGCCATACGGAATTGGGAGCAGCTGCGGCAACGGCGCTATTCGTGTGCACACCTTCGACTTGTAGTATGGAATGGCGGAAGCATAACACTAGTCAAGTCCGTTTTGATTAATTAGCCAAGTGTCGTCTCCTGGCCTCTCGGCGTCATGGTCCTATGCAAATAACCAAACAGTAGATGTGATAGGCATATACGGCAGCTGCAGAGATCTAGTAGACGTCCGTTGCGGTGACTGTCGTGTGTCCAGCAGCACCTGTTTCTGTTCAAGCAGTGGTAAATGAAGTATTGCAGAGGAGGAAGTTGTTAGGGTCCTTCGCCGCCACCACCATACCGTACGCGACTTGGAGCTTCAGAAGCTAGCGTGCTAAGCGAGCGCGTCTTGTATTGCTTAGCGAATATGAGCTCTAGCAGCGGGGAGGTTGGGAAGAAGAGGCGTGCGCAGAATTGTTGTGTAGTGCTCGCCCCCGTTTGCGGTCCTGGCTTTTCTCGGTTGCCGTTTGTTGCACGCGCATGTATGTGCGTGCGTGAGTGCGTGCACCCTGCGACGATGGAGACACCAGCAGGCAAGGACTTTACTCAGCCGACGAACTACCCTCATTTTGGCTAAATATTTCGACAAATTGACGGTTTCTCGATTCCGCTGTATGTGTCTGGGGTTATCGATTACTGTACGCTTGGTCCAGAGCGAGCTGGAGCAGATGGGGTTTGGTTACGGCGGAGTTTTGTGGGCATGCATTATTGGGAAACTCGTAGGCGCAGCAGTGGCTGTAGCAGAAGTTACAAGCAGCAGGTTTGCGTGCCATTATCCCGCGTGATGCTGTAGGATCCTGCTAGTTCTGGGCAATCAAGGTTGCTGGTGGGGGGGCTTTTGCTAGGCGTGTGCTGTGCAGGTCGGAGCAGGTGGCGCAGCGGTAGCCGCGGTGTAGCTACACAGTTTCTTGTTTTGGTGCAACGCAATGTCTGGGTTGCGCAGTACGCTTGGGGCGTCTGGCCTCCCTCCATCTTCCTAAACGGGGTTTCCTGCTGATCCGGATGTTCTACAGTCCGGGTGGTTGTGGTCCCCTTGTGGGGTGCGTGAAACGCCATGTTTGTTGTGAGAAGGAAACCACGATCGTCGTGTGCCTGGGCAGCAGGGCGGCAACGGCCTCCCAGGGGCCGGAATGGAAGTATGTGTGGGTATGGAAAGAGTGGGTGTCACGGCACTGGCAGGTGATGGGTTGCTGGCGTTGTGTTTGCAGGGAGCATCATCATCAGCATCTTGGGACCAGTGTTTGACCTTGACCTCTTGTTGTCTCGGGGTTGTGTCCGATGTCGGAGATTGGGTATTTGTGCGTGTGGTGCCCTCGGGGGTGTGTATGTGCCTCTGCTTGCGTGTGTGCGGCGCTGTCGTCGTCTGTTACGTCGATGTTTACGCTGTACCGTTGCATGGTAAAAGACGCATTGCATTTGTAGCAAAGAGCTTGTGCCGTTGCATGATGCTGCTAAGTACTGACATTGCTGTGCTGCGGGAGTCTGAGGCCAGCTGGGTAACAGCACGGTCCGGGCTGTCAGTGAATGAGGGAGACTTTTGATGTAAATTCAAGTTGTCCAGTCGTGCGTTAATATGTGTACATAGGTAGCGTGTTGTGGCAGCGGCCGAAGGCTGCAGACGGGCGATTGATAAGAGACATGGTTCATCCATGCTGTGTATATGTCAACGCGTCTTTGACCGCTGCGGCCACAGCCAGGGCGCTATTGAGCCCAGTACAGTGGATGGGGGGGTTCAGATGCGTGTACACTCATACTTTTTGTTTTGCCCCAATTCAGGGGCTGAATCTTCTTGCGTGCACACCCTTGTCTTGAAACAGTAAAGTCTGCGGCATCGGGTGGATGTGCACGTGGCACATCTCTCGACTAGTAACGCGAGTACCCCGCCTGCACACCCCTTAGCGGAGATGCACGTGTTGGTTGCCTTGTGCCGCACGGTTTTAACTATCCTGTCACAACTACTTGAACATTTGTTTTTCCGAATGTGTTTAGCTAAGGATATGGCGTCAATGACTCGTATAGTTTCCCACTCAATTTGTTGCGTCGTGAGCATTGGATGGATGAATTGGGTGGCGTACACGGGTGTATCGATGAAAGTGTGCAACATGACCTCGCACCAATTTGTGCAACTATTGTACGACTAAGTTTGGGTAGACGATTTGCTTAAGACATTATCAGTGAGGAGCTCAGCTTAATTTGGACAATTGACAATTGTGGGCATGAACACGTTGTCCTAATACCACCCCACGCCAATGTGGTTATGCACCAGCATATGTGTCCCCGCCCATGAGCCCACACACGGCATGACTAAATCGAGTAAACAATCGTTCATATATTCCCCCTGACTGCCGGCGGGCATGTCTTGTCAAATCATGTAAATATACATCAGTCCGCTTTGACATTGTGCCGGCCTCTATCTAGCGTGCGTTCGGCTCATCTCCGACTAGCGGCCGCTTCAGGGCGTTCTTGGCAATTCCTCCTGTATTGACTTCGTATTAGGGTCGGACATCACGACGGAGTATACCCTCCACGACCTCAAAATTCTGTGCAGCCTTCATGTAATAGTATGCTCCTGCATGCTGTACAGCCGCGCGTCATGCCTTCCAGTAGTACGACAGCTGCCCACGAAGGCTACCGGTCACGACATCCCCTGTGTCTGGTACACAAGCCACGCACAGCGGCCAGTCGAGCAGCTGGATGCACATAGCTGGTGGTGGTGGCGGCGGCGGCGCCACTGCTGCCGCCAAGGCTGTGCCAGGGACTCGCGGTACCGACAATCCTGGCGCCGGCGCCGCCGCCAGGCCACGCAGCACTGAAGCACCGCTGTACGACGTACGACAGTCTGTCATGGCCAAGCCCGGGCCGAGCCAGCCATTGGCACCAGCGCCGCCGCCTTGTGACGGCCGGGGGATCGCTGCTGGGTGCCAGAAGCCACACACATCACTATCCCACGCGCCGTACAACCCGAAGCCCGCCAGCCTGCAGTACGAGGACAGATCGCTCTCGTCCATTCCACGAGTCGCCTCCGAAGCACCCGCCAGTGGCCGATGCACGACAGGTCTGAAGGACGCGGCGTCGGTGGTGGCTGTAGTCGCCATCGTTGGCACCAGGGGAGCCGATACTGTTGACAGCGCTGATGCAGCGCCAGAGCCGCCAGCAGAGGGCACCGGCGGTGGCGCGGGGGACGCGTGGGTGAGGCCGGCGGATGCCAAGCTCCAAATGGCCACAGAACCATCCTAAGAGTAGCGTGGGTCACATAAAGGATAACCCCCAACGGGCGCCATGATGATAAGGTGGTTTACCCGGGAACGGCCAGTAAGGCATTAATAAAGAATAATGATGAGGGCGATAATGTGTGTTATATGGAAAAGGTCCGAAGGTGAAAGCGACGACGATAAGGATAGCGAATGGTTGAGAACGAAAATGAATATACGCACGAATTTATTACCTACATTTGTGTTGATGGCCGTGTTATAACAGACTCGCTCCTAAAATTTGCATACCTCCAGCACAAACCGCAAAGTCGAAAACCCCTTAAGCCGCCCCACCACACCTGTGCGAGCACCGCAGTACGACTGCGATCCCATGGGTCGGTCATCAAGCTGCTGATCACGGGCCGCAGGAATCCAACCGCCGCCAACGGTGCCAACAGATCCCAACTGCCAACCACTGCGGACAGGGCTGGTGCTGCGGAGCCCAGACTGAAGACGGCGCTGCTCACTGCCGTACTGGAGGCGCGCCGTACGTCCCAGAGGACGAGCTGTACGGCGGGAGCCCGGGTAAGAGGAAAGCGTTTGGGAGGCGAGATCATTAGATGGCGGACGTGTGAGGCCGTTATACCGGTGTCTGTAGATGTGAGCCGCTGGCGCGGTTAGAAGGGAATTTTCTTCATATTGTGATTTAATTCGCTGGCATTGTTGTAACTTTACAAGGGAACGCCGCCAATGTCGACAAGGTGAGCGCCACATTATGTAAAGATGTAACAAGCAAGCATACTAATCCTGTCACTAAGCACTGATTTTACCCGAGTGTGTGTCTCTTTCTTCCCGATCCACGCTCAAATACCAAATAGTCCTCCACCACCTTTTCCTCCTTTGTGGGTCCTTACCGTGCCAGGATCTACGACACCCAGCAGTGTCGTACCGTCCAGGGAGGGTTCCATTCGAGCTACCAGCGACGCGCCGCCCGGACACATCAACCGTGATATCGGCTGGCTGCCCCGCCGCTCATCCCATAGGTGTACGACAGCACCCTCGCCCCCAGCTCGCCCTGCGGCGGCCAGCGTGTACGGCGCGCCTGGGCTGCCGTACTTAAGGTATGCCATGGCGCGCGCAGCGGCGCCGCCGCCAACGTCCCCGCCGCCGACACACATTAATTGGCTGCGAGTGAAGGCCCCCATCTGCAAGGAGGTGTACAAAGATGTGCAGCAGACAAACACCAACACACCAAATCGATGCACTTCCTTTGAAAATTCCTCCTGGCCCTTTTCCAAATCCTACTACTGTCCTTCTCCTGCCATATACACGACCATTCAATGATTAACTAGCCTTCTAATATTCCGCACACTAGACTCGATGTCCATAGCGAAAGTGGTCCGCCGTGAAAGCCAGCGACTGAACCTGGAAGTATGGCTATGTGCGCTAATTATCCGATTCACCATGGAGGCGACTTCAAGGCGGCTCTGCCGGCGGCCAAGCACGGCGAAGCGCTTTTAAAGGAGATGTTCATGTCCCTGGGCGAACTGGTCTCTGCCAGATCACCCATGATGAAAAAACAGCAAACAAATCTCAGGACGTGCGAATCAGCCTGTTGATGAGCAGTTTAATTGCTTGGACAAGCCAGCTGGTAACGCCGGCAACGGCTTCCTTCACTTCTCCAAAAGCCCCTTCCCGGATGTCGCAAAGGGGGACCCCGGTGCGGCGGACCGGGACGGGAAGTGGAGAGGCGTCGTGGCCACTCAGGCAGCATTCTCGCGGTAGAGAACACCCTGTCCGGGGCTGTCATGTCCGGGGGGCTGCATGTGCGTATATATATACACGGTTGCAAGGCTGCGGCTTCACAACCCGGATAGGTAACGACCGAGGGGGTGAACCTTTTTCAGTATCCAGTATCTGTTGTGGCAAAGGAGGATCTCAAATAGCAGGCAGGCGCACCGCTACGCCGGAACAGCTGCCTGGATAGCTATCCGGTAAATTCGACATGGGTTTTCTTTTTTTAGAGTTTGGATAACTTTGGGGAGCTTTACTTGGGCGTGTTTTTGAGATATGTATCTATTTCGCTCGGACCCCCTCGGGCCCCCTCAGGTAGGGCTCAGGGTATGTATGTATGTATGTATGTATGTATGTATGTATGTATGTATGTATGTATGTATGTGTCTGTCTGTATGTATGTATGATGTGTAAAATAGGGGGGTATATCTTCACCCCTGGCAGCTACCCTGCGAAACCCTGCCTTCCTGCGGTATTTCGGGGCAACCTCATACAGTCACCCTAGCCAACTTCTCAGTGGATCGCTCAGGTTCCGCGCCCACCACCAGCATCCAACGGAATCTGCCGGGTCGACAGCGGCCCAACTCCATGCCTGGTCGGCTCGCAGGTTAACTTTATCCCAGGTCACCACCGTCCATCAAGTAGGGGCGCAATACCTTCCACCATCGGAAGGATTTTCGACCCCGATAGGTCTCGATCCCGGTATCTCCCGGGGGCAATGGTCGCGCGTTACCAGTAGTGCCTAACTGTATATATATGTTATGTAGTCCCTCGTTGATACACCTTAAAAAATGAGGGTGATGAAGCGCAAATCCAGGTGGTGGAACACACACACACACACACGCACAAACCTCCTGTCTGTTTTTTGTTTTTTTGCTCAAATCTCCTTTTCCCGCCAAGCATTGACGAGCAACTCCTTTTTCCACCGAATAAGCGATGCTCTACAACGGTATAAAACACTCACCCTCCAGGTCCCGGCGCCACCCTCGCCACCGCCACTGCGGGGACCCCAGCCCAGGTCAAGCAACGTGATGCAGCTGGACGAGCGGTCCACAACGGCCAGTCGCCCCCGTCGCTGCGGGTCCCATCCTATGCAGGCAACACGGCTGCGCGTGTTGAGCGTTAGAACGGAGCTAGAACTCCTTGCGCCGGCCGCAGCGGCGCCGCTATCGCCGCCCTGCCCCACGTAGCCGCCGCCGCCGCCTGGGTGTCTTATTCGGCCCGCATGAACAAGCTCAAGCCATGGAAGCGTCTGCGGCTGCCGTCGCCGCCGCCGGTGACTGCGCCGGTTCACATTATTGACGCAGGTTCCTTGAAGATGTCCCTTCTTCTCCTCCTCTTCGTCATCGTCGTCGTCGTCCCCTCCGTCACTGTCATCTCCGTTGGTGTCGCCGTCCTGTAACCCGGAAGCCCCGGACGCCCCACTCGCCATTACAATGAAATGAAAACGTCTCCTACAATCCAGAGTTCTAGCAACTGGTTGATTGATTAATTGACTAATAATAAACCGACACATCCATAAGCTAACGAGCTGTTTTGCCAGCCATTTGGAGCTCTAGATGTTAGTATCCCTCCCCACTTTGTCCGCTCAGATCTCGCACACAAATCGCCATCTGTCATATCGCCATCGCCACGACCTTTCCTCCTCGTCCTCACCTCCCGAGCGACCGCCACCTCGCGGTCCGCAATTCGCCGCACCTCGGCGAAATTCCGCAGCACATTGTACGGCACAATCCGTACAAGTTCATTGGCCTGCGCCACCGCCAGGCACGCTCGTCCATCGGTCTCGCCGCTAATCTCAATCTGGGTCACCGCATCTTGGTGTACGACAGATACGGCGCGAAGTCCCTCTGCCGCATTCCAACAGCCGACCTGTGTGTGTGTGCGCGCGCGTGTTTTGGATAACTACGTAATACTATGCGTGGAGAAACCGCTTCTCCTTAATTCAGGGTAGCCTAAAGGCCCCTGGTCAAGCAGTACTTATTCCCGATAGGAGAAAATGTGGCGTTTCACTCTCACGTGCAGACGTCCAAGCATTAGGGTAATGCGGAAAGAGGAACGAAATTTTTCGAATGGCAACACCACCATGCTACCGCCAAGGACGTCTCCAGCTTCCTTCTCTCCGGGCTTGTCTTTCCCCCCTCTTACCGAGGGCCCCCACTCCGCCCCCCTTCCCTTCCCTTCTTTTCTCTTGCCCTCCACTCCCTTCACGCGCCGCAGCCGTATCCTCACCTCCTCCAGCCGTGGGCCAGCGCTCTTCCACCACCATAATTCTCCACGCGGGTTCAGCCTACCCATGCTACGGGCCTGAAGCAAACAAACCAGGTTGGGCCTGCGCTCTCGGGACGACTCAGGAGCCGCCAGGCGCTGCACAACCGCCGCCGCTGCTGCAGGCGGCGGTGGCAACGGCAGCGCTGCCGCCACCAGCGGCAAGCACGGCCGCTTGCGCGGCCGCGTTTCGACCCTGTCGCTGGCGCCGCCAGCGGCACCGTTAAGCTGCATTGAGCACAGCCTGACGCCGTCCGTCGTGCCAGCAGGTGCAGCAGCAATAGCAACACTAGCAATGGTGGTGGCGGCGGAGCCGCGGCCGCCACCGCCGTCAACTGCGGCGGGTGCCGCAGCAGATGACGCACCCGCTGCTGCTGCTGCTGTTGCCGTGATTGCTTTTCGGCCATGCAGCATTTCGGTTAGAAGGTCGTTGGCGGCTTTAGCTGAGGAGGAACGGCCGACGGCGGCAGCCGCTGTTGCTAATCCTGCTGCTGCAACAGGGGGCCCACTACAAGGCGGTGGCGGTGGCCTGCTGCTGCGAGGCGCCTTTGCAGCCACCACACCGTTGGCCGCTATTGGTTTCGCTACTGCGGCGGGGGCAGACATCGCTACTGCTGGTACAGGCTGGTGGCTGCCGGGGGGTTGTGAAAGAGCTGGGCGAGAAGAACTGGTTGGTGCTGTTGTTGTGGTCGTGGCCGAAGGCGATGCGGGCGGTACTGGGGCGGGGTGAGAGGGACGGGAAGGGGGAGGTTGCGACGCGCCGGCAGTTCCTTCTCCACCTTCCTCAATCCCTCCCCTCCCTGCAGCACCATGCAGCCTTCGGGGCCTTGCTTCAGGAGGTTTACGTGGATTTAGATGTCTAGCCGCTACTGGCTCATCCGGGGGACGATCGCTTGGAGGCTGCCCAGGGGCAGCAGTGCGGTCAAGCGGTTTTGGGACCGGCTTGAAATACGCCTCCAAAGGTTTGAATGCCCGCATTATGCTGTCCGATTTTTGCAGGGCTGGAAATCTCCTTGAACTTGTGACAATACATGTAAGAAGGCAAACATGCTCTACGCTCTGGAGGTGTGCCGGGCAGACTTCGCAGCGTTAGTGCTTCCCGCCATTTCGGGCTAGGAAAAGGTTGAAGCCCGCGCCAAGAGCAAATCCAAACCTTATGCAGGCATCTCGTTCTTATATAGGAAGAACTATAATATGACCATTTAGGTCAGCGCTACTACTGTATACTATGCCGAGCAGTGGACGAACTACTAACACCATCCCAAGGGCGCTGAGCAGGGTTAGTGCGTGTCCCGTATTTGATGAATTCATAGACAAGGATTAAATGAAAACTAGCGAGGAAGAGACAAGAGAGGTTTTATTAGCTAACGGTCCAGGCTGCAACGGCAACTGATTCGGGCGTCGGCTTCTCGGCACCAGACGTCGACAAACGGGGTATTTCTGGTTTCTGGAATGGGCATATTTCTGTGTTCCAGTACAGTGGCCCACGGCCTGTTCTTCATCATTGACCGCGGACTTAGGTTGTCTTAGGCGGTCTTCGGGCCGCATAACACCTTTCGTATACGGCGTATGATCCTATTTCTGCAAGCCGGCCGGCTTCGGGAACTCTATTTCTGCTTTCGGGAGTTTCGGTACAACACGAAACTCCCGAAGCGTTTGCCGATGTCTGCTCGGCACCATGTCTCGGCTCTCGAGTGCTCGTGTGTGACATCTCCAGTTCTTCACTGTCTCGTTAACAACTCATGTTACCTTTCATAATGCAGTACTGAACCACCTCAAGACGCTTCCGGTAATGACTAGAACATTCTGGCAGGCCCATCCAAACCCCAAACTAGGGCATCGGTACCGCCTTCATCAACCTCATCGCGTCCAAAACAGTAGGTTTCATCATGTCGTTACGCACGTCAATCACACTGTCCTTCCGATATCCGCAACACCATCCCATTCCCATGGAGTGACTCCTTGCACTCAAGGCCCCACATCACCATCACCCCTACCACCCCCTGGCTGCTTCCAACACAGAAATGGCAATGGCATCTTGCTTCCGAAGCCCTCCTCATCACTTCACCATCTAGTTTGTTGGTTATTCAATGTCTCTGGGGAACGAAATGCCGGCCCAAGCCACAGTGCACATTAATTACAACTATGCACACTATAGCAGCTGGCCGCTGAAACGGCGTCTCGAGATGCTGGTCCAGCGCTTAGCGCATATTTGTACTTCATATGTGTGCCGTACTGTGTACCAGCTACTACACACATAGTTACTTACCGTACTGCAACAATTCGTTTTGGGGTACAGGGCCCGCTGACGTTGACTTCCTCATCCATGCACAGGTTTAAAGTCGATTAAGTAGAATTCTGTTGCATGACCCTCCACGCAGGGAATACGGCCACCCAAGTACTGGGTGCACTGCTCATGGCTACGGGTTTAGAGCCCCTGCCCCCATGCAGCCCCCACCTGCCCAAATAGGCAACGCACAAGTGTAGACCAAGAACACCGCCAAGCATCCTGCACCCGGCCCTGCAGAGCCCATTTAGCTTCCGCCCCGGACCAAGGACGCCGGCCGGCGAGGCCAGGAACCCCATCCAGCCCCGGGAGCCTGATCAAAGAGTGAAGGAGTGTTCCCAGAAGGTGCGAAACCAGCAGCTTTGCCTGATGACTCGCCTTGTGGAGGAGGCTGGTAGTAGGATTATTTAAGTGTACTAACAAATGAACACTATGAAATTTGCTTCAATTAGATGGGCTAACTCTATGGTGCTAGTGTTTTATATTCTCCGCTGCACTCTACCCGATGGGTCTCGCTGACGAGCCGAAGGCACAGCGGTGTAGTAACAGAAAGCGCGCCGAAGGCGCGGGACCTGTTTTGTTTATCAGCGCGCAAGATAAGCTAACCAGCTTAATGCGCGCAATAAATGACGGCCCTGAGGACACGGGCCGTTGCGAAACAGTTAGTCTAACAGTTACGCATTAGGCCTTACGCCCAACTAACCCAGCTTACTTAACGCAAGCTCGCATCACCAAGCGCTAATGCTAAGGGACTACGTATGATTCTGCCAGTACAGGCTACTTCAGGCTACTACAGGCGATTACCGCAGAGACTCTGCAGCCTGGTGCTTGCTTTCACGCGCTGCCTAATACTGGTGATTTGGGAGAAGATGCTACCGCAAGATGCCACACAGGGGTGTGTGTGCCACTCACGGAATGCCTCCGCTGACCATTAAATTGTAATCATCATGCCACATTTGTCAGAGTAAGAGCACGTCGTTCATAACAGTTTCCTAAATAGCTTGTTTATTTCATTTCTGATTTCAGATGCAATCAAAGAGCGCTATTTACAGCATGTTATTTGGCACATGAAGAGGAATTAGAGGCTATACTCGCTTTGCTCCTGCCGCATCTAAGCTACAATTATGTCCTATAGCCTTCATGGCTTGCTGTACGGTTGCGTTCGGGGTGTCGGATAGGACAGGGCGAGGCGAAACCGGGGCTGCCAAGGGCCTTACACTACTGCAGACAGAAAAGATAGCAGGAGGGGCCCTCTGGCTCAGGCGAGGCCCAGGTTGCGCGTGGTTTCCAGTGCGGCATCGTCTTCCAGCCGGGTATATAGCTGTACCATTGCGTCCGTCTTCCAGCGACCGTGGGCCTTGCGGGCTTCTTCGGACACCCCTCTGGCTGCTGCAGCACTGTTTCCCCCGATGCGCATGGAGTGTGGCATGATGCCGCGCTTGATGCCCACGGCGCTGCACATGGCAGCGAGCTTCTCCCGGAAGGAAGTATAGCTGAGGCTGGGGATCGGTGACTGAACAGAGCCGGTCCTCTGCTGCAGCTGGTGGCCTTGCTGTGTCGCCTTAACCCTGCGCAGCAGTGGACCCACGTCCTCCACGGGGGAACTGGGGACACGGACGTAGTTACCAAGCGCCAGCAGCCTCTCTGTCAAGCCCACTGGGCAGGCCACGCCCCCCACGCGCGCGATCCGGATGGTCTGCCCTTTGCCCTCCTGGTCCGTTTTGGACCTAGGCAGTGTGATGGCCATGTGAGTGTCGTGCAGGGTGAGCAGATCAGACTTGACGGAGATGTGGGCTAGGTCGTTGAACCTCAGGAAACCCGCGAACATAACCGATATGGCCGCTACCATCATCAGGTCTGGCAGTGAGGC